TTGGTGAATTGACAGACTCTTCTTGCATGCTCCGAGCTTGAAAGATCCATTGTGTTTCTGTGTTATGCACACACATTTTGCCTGCATTTCACATTTCCATGTCTCTTGTTCTGGTTTTTGTGGGACAAGGTAGAAAAAAGTATGCTGAATATGACGTTTAATTTGTTTCTACCTCGCCTACATTGTTTAGTCTGCATGTATAACATGGGTTGATAGATTGCATATATCTTTTGGCCGGGGGATGGTTCTTTTCCACAAGAATGGCTTCGCATATCTTTTTGCCATTTTGAATTTCACACTTCAATCTTGATGATGGTTTGGATGTTGCAAAAGTGAACGCTATGTTCAAAAGTCGTTGACTGGGAAAGAAAATTGCTTGATGATATTGAGAATTTTTAATCTAGGTCTTGGATTGGGGTTTGCATATGGGAGATATTTAACTTCTTCCTACTAAGGGCATATTTCGTTCACATATGGTATGAGATGGGATTGAATAATTGATTCCAGTATCTTGTTCATGTGGAGGTAATAATTGACAAACCATTTTATACCTTATAGTGTATATGGATCAAGGCTTGGATATGTAATGGGTCCATTGTTCTAATATCACAATGTTGTCCTCATTATAGTCCTCCAAGAGTCAAATAGCATTTCATCGGAATACATCCAGCCTTTCACCTTAGTAGTCCCTTAAATACCAACTATCATGTAGCTTTAAACTACCCTTCTGTCCCTTCTCATTATCTCGCCTTCAAAACGGAAGAAAAAGAGAGCATACTCTTTTATTGCCTTTGGAATCTATGTATAAGGCATACCTTCACGAATATTTCTTTCAAAATGTGTGAAATATGTATCTAATGTCCTTTCCGTAACGCGCTCCCTGTTTGGGTATTGAATTAAAAAAAACAAAAGTGTAAACTTTAATCAAAGAAAGAGAAAAGAAGAAAAAGAGAGAAAATATCAATTACGATAGAATATGTTGGGATGTATTCCTATCATACAATAAATGACTAAATTACCCCTATCATACTAAGTATACTAGACTATAATACCTCCCCGCCCCAAACCTCTCAAACTGATAATGTGATAGCAGAAAACATTAAGAGTTTATCAAGAAGAAAACAAAAATGTGTTGTGGTGTGAGACTTTGTAAAGTTTGGTAACTGCATGGTAGAATGAAGAAAGGGAAGGGAGGTGGTGCCCAACTGAAGGTGATGCCACACAAAGTGACAGTTAATCTTAAGATACTTCATTCTTGTAAGACCAAGTTATGAGCAATTTGAATAGCATTTGTGTTGTCACACGACATTTTTCACATACATTTTGCAATTATTATGCAAACAATAGTCATCTTAGCAACAGAAGCAAATGTCTCTTCATAACCCTATACCATACTTTTGAGTAAATTCTTTGGCTATCAATCGAGCCTTGTATCGTTTCATAAAACCATTAGATTTAGTCTTAATTTTATAAATCCACCTACAACTAATCGTGCATTTGCCAAAGAGTAATGAACCGAACTCCAAGTCTTATGTAAAGTAATAAGTTCCTCATCCATAGCATGTTTTCAAAGAGGATCAAGAACAACTTTCTTATAAGAGGTAAGTTCAGAAAGAGAGCACATACAAATTAAGAAAGAACAAAAATCAATAGAATAGTTAGAGTTAGAAATCAACCGGATCGAGATTGCTAAGGATAGCAAGGAACATGATCCACATTGCTAGAAGCTGACTGAGTGATAGTAGTAGAGGAGGGAGACACCACATTGTAGACTATACAACTTGAGTGTTGTAAGCATAAGTATGTACAATAGAGAGACGAGTGACAGGTAAATCAGAAGTGGAGGGCACATTAGAGATAATTATATCACCAACATAAGTGTTATCGGGAACATCTGTCGGAAATGGATTAATCTAAATGAGATCAGATTTATGCAAATGTAAAAAACTAGATATAATAGAAAAGAAGAAAAATAAATAATCGAAACACCAATATCTGGAAAATGTAACTCGTCCAACAAATATAACCCATCCTTTCTACCATATGTCCCAATCAACTTCAATGTGGAACCTGCATAACACAAGAAGAAGAAGAAAAGTGAGTTGATACTCCAGAGTCGACCAACTGACTAATTGAAATCAAATTCAAGATAAACCGTAGAATATAATAAACATCAGGAAGTGTTAGTTGCGGAGAAATAATAGACCCAACACCAACTTCAAGCACGGATATAGAGGAGAGAAGGTAGATGCAAATAATGAAAAATCACTAATCATGTGATGTATAGCAATTGAGTTAAAGACCCAAGTAATTCGAGATATGCCTGAAATACCCAATGTGAATAAACCTATGGAAAGAAAGACTGAGGCAGTATGAAGCTGCTAGAGAAGCTTCTGCAATTGATCAACAATCATGGTCAATTTCAAACAAATGGACTGATGAGATTCGTAGTTTCTACTTAACATAATTTTAGGAAACAAAAATTGTATAAGAAGAATCCAATCACATGAACTAAGTCCAAAACACAAAACCCAAAGCCCAGGCAACTAACAAACAAGAGAGCAGTGAATACAATGACCGATACACACAAAAGAAAAGTTCACCAAGTTTTCACCAAACAATCAATTGAATATGCTCAAGAATCATCCAATCCAGCAAACAACAATATAGAATTGTTGCTTGTGATGGGGATAAGAGGCATAAATAAACTAACGATGCACATATCTAGCCCACCCGAACCTCTCAAACAACCCAAATTTCATCACAAATCAATCCAACAACCTTACAAATCAAGTAGTCACAGCCAATTGAGGTTTCCTAGACCAGTATAAGGCAAATAGGTAGCAAAATATTCAATTGGGGGTACTGTTGATGCTGTGAATAGTAACTGACACTGTTCACAACCCTTTGAACCAACGAAAAAAATAGCAAAAGACAGCCACTTGCCCTCAATCACACAAAGAAGTACAAAGAACCTCTAGTTGCACCCTTTAGGTGTCGTTTGAAGCAAAGAAATTGAAGAGAACAATAGATTTAAGATTGAAAAATTTGTGCAATGTTTTTGAAAATTATTCTAAAAATAGAAAACTTTATCCAATGACCTCGAAATCGAAAACCAAACACACCATGAGAATACCCATGAAAAATCAAGTAGGAAGGTTTCTTCAAAATTGGTCCAGGATGATGACATCAGCCCTAGTCCAAGAACATATTCTTTCTAAATATGTTTTCGGATCAGAACGTACTCTGCTACCATTCAAACTTTGATCAAGGAAAGGAAAAAGAAGAAATAAGGAGAGTAAAAATCATTACAACACAATAAGTTTGTGCAACAACATCAAAACCTGAGATACATAAGAGTATCTCCAACCCCGACTCAAATTTGGACTCAAAAAAATGAGTCTTCTTGATTCAAACTTATACCAAATTAAGGGGACTCATTTTTTTACTCAAATCAAGGGAGATTCAAATCCTTACCTAAATGTTTAATGGTGAGATTTTACTTTCTTTTAAAGATTCAGTAGTTGGGATTGCTCTCATTTAAATTTGAGCTTCTCCTTTAAATTTGAGTTTGTCTATTGGAGCCCTTTGTATCAAATCAAGTTTTTTACTCAGATTTTAATTTAAATTTGAGTCATGGTTGGAGTTGCTCTAATAGAGGCCTTTATATAAAAAGGGCAACATATAATAAAATAAACGACTAAATTATCCCTATAATACTATGTGTACTGGACTAATCTAACAGAAAACACCCTACATCAATGCACAACTCGATAATCTATAGGATACTTGTTATTTTAAATATTGATATCAATCATGTGTCAGTTAATACTACCTATTATATGGTATTGACTTGTACCAAGTATGGGGTGTTATATAGTACTTCAACATCAAACGGATGCTAACAAATTCATTAAGACCAGACCTTATAACTTGATAACCTTGGTATTGAGTGATCATTGGATTAGTTTAATTCAATTCCACCACTTAATGACCTCAACCAAACACGCCCTATGGGGGTGTTTGGATGGCCAAATTGGATAGGTTTAGATTTTTTCTATCCTTTCCTATCAAACCCAATGGCACATACCCATTTACATTGATTTGGATATCGATGTATTCCTTTCCCTTCTCTTGTTTGGCTAGTTTGGTTGCTCTCCAACACTCTCACATACTTGAGTTACAAAAGTTCTTGCAATTGACTGAGCAAATATATTGTTGTTCACACCACTCACTGGATCATAATTCCCAAAAGACCATTTCTGGAGTTAGGGAGAGCCCCCAGGTGGTTGAAACTAGTGAATTTTTTAGGTTTCTTTTTACAGAGAGAAAGGAAGTTTTGAACACGAATTTTCTTCTTGTGGCAGTTCATGGTCATATTGTCTTCTGAATTCAATTGTGAGGTAAATGAGAAGGGTCAGAGAGAGAATGGACCAGCTTTTGTATTTATGCCCTGTGAGTCAATTGCTCATGTTTACTCGTTACATCACCGACAACGATTCTAACTCCGACAGCCCCAAGATCAAGGAAGACCTGGACCGTTTGATCAAAGAAGAAATGTGTGTGGAAGTTCCAAAAAGCCCTTTGATTTATTTTCTGAAAGACCTCCCTCCACAATCACTCCTCCAGCGACATCACCTCTGCTCGTGCTTTTTGGGGGAGAGAGGAAAAAGTGTCGTCCATGTATCTAGGGTTAAACAACAGCAAAAGGGGTATAATAGTAATTGGACAGACAAATCCAACCGGCTGGCATTTTATACCCCCACCCAGATGGGTTACAGATATCCTCTTAAAATGCACTGCATTTTGGGATAGGATTTTGTCCAACCGGATTATCCCACCATATTATTATCCAATTCTTTTTGTGTTAACCCCTTTTAACCCACTATCCAAACACCGCCTATAGGTTTTGATTTTCAGTAAATGTCGTGGATATATAATTTCCTCAGTTTTGGGATGAAATATACTCAATTGATTATGCTTTCTTTCATGTTTGCCAGATATGATTGTGCGACAGTGGTTCAGTCCGAGGATTTTTAGCTGGATAAGCTATATCGGGAATCACCTGTGGTTGCAGTCAGAATTGTAGCATTAGATAACTTACTCTATTACTCCATGGCTTTGTTTTTCTGACTGGCAGAGAAAAAGGATGGGCAGATTGGCAGAGAAAAAAGGTCGTGGTCAGGTTCTAGAGTCATAGGTAAAGTTTGAACATCAACCACCATTCAATGATTAGCAGACGAGCCCACTTTTTAGGGGAAGTTTTTAATATTCAGTTGATTCAATGTTGTATTCTTTGTCAATTTATATATTTTCAAGTGCTACATTCAATGATAATTCAGTTTTGTCATCAGTTCATCAGTTGTCCCAGTGGTCAGACACAGATGATGTATATGGGATCAGCGAGCTGTAATTATTTAACCTTCAAATTTTCGTCCCATCTCTCCCTATTATTTCATTATTTTCGATGTGCTGTAACATTTTCATGGACATAAACAAGAATTAAGCTTTGGTTTCGGTGTATATGACAGCTTGTGCACTACGTAGCCCTTTTGCACTGTTTCGGTTGGTTTGGCACTGGAAGACCTTCAGAAATATTTCAAAAATATGATCAAAATAGAAAAAGTTTCAAATTTTGATTCCGAAACATTCCTTGACATTAGTCAAAGTCTATTGAACATTTTGAAATATTAACGGCATGACAACGTTGGTTTATCATCATTGATTCGTTTCATTTTCCACCGAAACATGAATATTTCAGTCTTTTTGATTGAAATGCAAAATTTTGCTTATTGGATGTACTTAATTTATCAAGCACTTTCTTGTGGATTACCAGCACTTTTTGGGTTTGTTTGGTTTGGGTATAGTATGAGATAAGATTGTGCAATTGATTTTTTTTATCTACTTTATAGTGGTTGTAATAATTGACCAACCAGTTTTTCCTATCCCAACCATTTTATGCGTAGATCATTGCTTGGATAAGGTGTGGATCCATTATTTTAATTATCAATCTCATGTTTGTATATAGATTAACTAGTTATTTTTCGTACCCGAAGGTATGGAGTAATAAAAAAAAATGTCAATAATAAACATATTTGTATTTACACTTAAAATTAAATTACAAATATAGAGGAGAGAAATAAATTTAATCATCGGTGGTAGTGGGGGTGAGCGATGGTAGTGGTGGTGGGCGACAGTGATTGTTGTGGTGGGTGGCAACGACCATGGTGGTGGTAGGTTTTGGATGATGAGGTGGTAGTGGCAGCCATGGGTGACAACAATAATGGTGAATATTGACGGTGGAAATAATCGGTAACAGTGGTAATAATCGGTGGTAGGTGATGATGGTAGTGGTGGTGGGGGTGGTGATGGTCGTGGGGTAAGGGTGATGGTGGGATAGTAGCGATGATGGCAGAGTGGCAGCAGCGGTGATGGTGGTTGTGAGGCAGTGAGGGTGGTGGGTGCGGGCAAAGATGTTGGGTGTGGGCAAATGTGGTGATGAGGTGACAATGGTAGTGATAGTGGTGGTAGTGGGGGAGCGGTAAGGTACTCTTACTATTTTTTTAAGAGTACCTCAAGTTTATAGAAATACTCTTACAATTTTTTAAGTTAATACTAATCATATTTCATTTAGTATAACATATTAATGCAGATTGTGAAAAAAAAAATTGAGGATGAGAAGAGGAGAAGAAGGATATGAGAAAGACAGAAATATATGAGAAATTAAAACAAACTAGGGAGCAAAACAATTCTCAAAAATCAATCAATTCCAATTTGAACAAAACCTTTACCTTAATACCTTTATATTGGGAAATCAAACCCTAAAATTAAAGACTCCTACATAAGTATACTAATAAAATAATAAATACAACTTAATATTCAAATGAATATATATTTTACAGTATTTATCCAACTATAACACGATCCTCTTGATTCTCGCTTGGTTGAGACAACCTCTCCTATGGAGAGTCATCACAACAAAAGTACTCCAAGAAACGAGGTAACAAAACTCTCTTTATAATCAATGACGATGTTAATAACCTCTATTCGAATACCTAAGAACTATTTTGTCCAGAATTTATTATAGATGGGTCATAAGAGTAGGAATTAGAGATAGTTTTGTTGGCCTAAATACAACCTAAGAGGGGAGCGAATTAAATTGTTTAAACTTAATGACTATTTGAGCTTTCTTAAAGTTGTACCAATTATACAATATTGATGTTGATTTGATAGACAATACAAAATGGATGATGAAAATAAATGTTAAGGAAGAAGAAAGACAAATAAGATTTATAGAGGTTCGACAAAATTACTATAGCCTACTTCTCTTTTACCTCCTCCTCAAGTTTTCATTTGCTCTATTTCAATCTTCTTCAACTGATGAAAAATGAAACCTTTATAACCTTCGTCTTCTTCAATAGGTGAAGATACACACTTACAATCTCAAGCTCAATCAACACAAAAATCTTCTATTCTCTATACAAGATGATCACTCTCAAAGATTACAAGAGAGAGTAAGAGTTCCAATCATGTTCCGGGTAATTGGGGTTTGGTTAGTAAGAATACCAATTGTATGCAAGGTTACCACTTTTTTCAGGCAAGATCATCACTTTTTTGGGGGTAAGAGTACCACTTTTTTTGTTACCATTACTATTTTTTTGAGGCAAGATTACCATTTTTAGGAAAAATTATCACTTTTCGAGGGCAAGATTACCACTGTTGAGGTAAGAGTACCACTTTTTGAGTTAATATTACCAATTTTTTTAGGCAAGATTATCACTATTTTTGGGGTAAAATTACCATTTTTTAGGAAAAATTACAACTTTTTGAGGAGAAGATTACAACGGTTGAAATAGAGTACCACTTTTTGAATTAATATTAGAACTTTTTTGGGTTAGAATATAACTTTTTTTGGTGTAAGAATACAACTTTTTGGGTGTAACATTATCACTTTTATTTGGTAAGAATACCGTTCTTTTAATAAGATTACCATTTTTTTGAGACAAGATTATCACTATTTTTTGGATAAGATTACCATTTTTTAGGGATGATTACCACATTTTGAGGGAAAGATTACCACTGTTGAGGTAAGAGTACTATTTTTTTTTGTTAACATTACCATTTTTTTGGACTAGAATACAACTTTTTGGGGCTTAGAATATAACTTTTTTAGGTGTAAAAAAATATAATTTTTTTGGTGTAACATTATCACTTTTATTTTGTAAGAATATCACTTTTTTGAATAAAGTTACCATTTATATTGGTATGATTACCACTCTTCATAGGTAATGTTAACACTTAACTGGTTAAGCTACTGATAATAGATTACAACTCTTGGTAATAATACCACTTTTGGGAGCAAGTTACCACGTTTTTAATAAAATTACCACTAGGTTACCAATGTTTGCCTTAACATTAACACTGATTGGGTAAGAACACAATTATTTGGATATAATTAACACTTTTGGAGGTAAATTACCATCTTTTGGTATAATTAACACTTTTTGAGGTAAAATTACTACTAATTGGGTAAGAATACACTTTTTTTTAGGTAAGAATATCATTTTTTTTGGCAAGGTTACAATTAGTTTGGGTAATTTTTATTTTCTATCATTCTTGTACTATGCATGCATTTTGGTAGGTTTATTTTGCCTTTTATTCATTTAACTGTAATTAGTTTGCATTGAAGTGTAAGGTACATACGTCCCCTCTAGTTAGGTGTAATTTAATTATTAGTCAATAAAATTTCCCTCGCACCGCCGAGGTTCCCCAAAAAAAAAAAAAATCTAGAATACCATTTTTTAGAAAAGGTTACCATTTGTTTTGGTAAGATTACCATTTTTTATAGCTAAAGTTACCACTTGTTTGGCTAAGTGAGAGGGAGCAACGTTACCACGTTTTTGGGGAAGGTTACAATTATTTTGGATAAGATTACCAAATTTTTATAGATAAGGTTACCACTTTTTTTGGTAAGTTTACCACTTTTAATTTTTCTTAAAATCAGGACCGGTTATGTGATCTAAGATAGCGATCAATTACCGATCTAATCAGGACCGATCCTGGCTTGTTAGCGATCAAGTCTATCGATCTAATCAGGATTGATCCTGACTTTGTTAGCGATCAAAACTATCGATCTAGACCGATCTTGACATGTTCTAGGATCAAGACTACCGATTAAATCAAGACCAATCTTGACAACGTTCAACTTTCAAAATTTAAAAACCCAAAACCGAAAACCCAACCTTATTACATTTTCTTTTATGTATCAAAATTTGGCATAAAATTCAAATGTGAGATTATTTTTTCCGCTCATTTGAGGTCAAATTTTAATAGTAGCAAAATATAATTTTAATTGACTTGAATTATAATTCATAAAAAAATATAATACAAACAAAAAAAATTTTAATTATCTAACCCGACATCCCACAATGTAAATCGTTTGTCCAATAATCTGGATCCATATCAATTGGCAATAATACCGACACATGGATGAGTGAAAATTTGGCACAATACTAACCCATTTTCCACCCAAATCCATTCCTCTTGCTTCTTCCAGACACTTGGTAGCTGCAAATAGCTGGGACTGCTGCTTCACTTTTTTTTCTTCTTTCTCTTTCTTTTCTGAGTTCTTCTCTTCTGCTTTGTTTTGGTTCCTCGTTTAAGTCTTCTAAAGTGGTGATAACCTCCTCCTCCTCTCTAATATTGTTAATCTCAACTCAAAATATTTATAATATAAGTTCTATTTAATCCCAACCTATATAAGTTCTATTGTTTAGCACAAAAAAAGATGACACTATTTTTATGGTTAATGCTGGATTTTATATTCAGGGGGAGGAAGAGCTCAAGTGAATCTGATCAGCCAACAATCTCATGGATTTTTTATTAGTGAGAGATTTGTATAATCTAAATATTAAACCAGTTTTATTGATCTTATTTGTATGTCATTGATGATGTTATTTCTCCATTGTAGCAAGGATTGTTTGAAGACAATGAAATGAAAGAATAAGAGTTTTGCAAAAAGAAATCTACACCAAAAGAAATGGTAAATCAGAATATAAATTATTTGTGTAACATATAATAGTAGGTAACTTAGCTTTCTAAATTTTCAAAATAATCACTGCGTTGCGAAAGTCAAAATAGTTCCTTGTCAAGAAAAAAAAAAGTTAAATTGTGCAAGATATAACAGTGAAGATATGAAGTTAGAATTAGGTTTGGTAATAGATTGAATTCAATTAATTGGATATGAATTATTTTTTGACTAATTATTCAAGTTTGAATTTAAATTCTTTATATCATGTTTCATAGATTTGGATCTTAATTTATATCTAGTTTAATTATAATTTGATCCGAGTTTTACATATATATTTATGAAAAAATTGGTGAAATTCAGGTGTAATTTGTTAAAATCAATTTTATCTAAATTATTCTGATCAAGTAGTTTTAATGGTTTTGGATAAGGATTGTGAAAAATAACATTCGTCGGATGATTGGATTGTTTTATCCAATATTTTGTGATATTAACATTGGTTTTTTCCAATATTTTGTGATACTATTTCAGCTCCTCCCAGATCATAAACTTCCATTCACACAGTGACAAAAAATGGGCTATGTATGTCATTTAATTATTCATACGTACTCCTGCACAATAAAAAGGAAAGAAGTATTTCTAATGAGTAATACGTGCTCCTACACAATAAAAAGGAAAGAAGTATTTCTAATGAGTAATATTAGATGGAGTTAAAAATTAGATTTAAAAACTATGAGACAAAAAGCGTGATGTGTGTAACGGGTGAGACAAACACAATGATATCAAAGATTCAACTTAGTCGAAGGACTAAGATTTCATCCACTATAAGGCAAGCTATTGCTCCTTAGAAATTGTATTGCCTGAGAGAGTGTTATTGTTACAAAGTATTTGACTAAAAGCCTTTCACAAAGTATTTCATAGGTTACTGTTGTATGATCTTTTTCTCATATATCCCTTTACACAGAGTATACACCCGTTGCTAGGGTTTCATGGTGGTTCCTTTCCTAATTCGGTGGCCCCCTCCTTGTTTATCCTATTGTTGAGTTTGTCATCCCTAACGTTTTCTTGTGTCTACACCGTCTTGAACGGAATATGTGAATTATCTCCACTATCAGTGGATATTTGTTCGTTAGGGCTAGGTGTTGTCTCCTGTCGATTTATCTGGTGTCAAGCTCTCCACTCCTGAGTGGGTATCTGTACCGAACTTGTCGATATTGAGCTGACATATATTTCAAGGTTAGTTATTATAGGCTTCTATGGAACTGGATTGTGGTCTAATTCGGGCCCAATAAATAGTATCTGGATAAAATGCTCGAGTCGTCCCGCGCAAGGCCAAAGAAATTTTGTGCTTCGAATGGAGCCCAGACTTAAATCCATTGTCAGGCGTAAACTACCGAACACCATTTAGAGGTAGAAAGTAACAGGTATATTATGGATTGTAGTCGTCCAAACTGCCAAAATATCGTCAAGAATATTGTATAGAAAGCAGGAAAATATATTTACTAAAAATTCTTTCTTGGAAATAAATTGTGTTTTGCAATTGAATTTGGATAATTAAGTCACGGGGCATGAAATAAACATTGTGTCAGCTGAAAACCAGAGTTTCTTAATAGATCGTCCATTGTAGCTTAAATGGTTAAAAAATATGAACAATGCTGCATGGATTTTAAAAATAAACTTAAAAACTAGACTTGATAATCTTAATCATTGATTTTACTGTAAGTCTCAGTATTTATTGAAACTCACTACCTATTCAATGATTGAGATTATCAAGTCTAATTTTTAAATCTAATTTTTAAACTCATCTAGCATTACTCAAAAAATATTGTGGCGTTTACTCTCTCTCTCTCTAACAAATTTCCTGGTACTCCATGTACATAATCTCCTCCTATCGTGAAATCCTCCGGTCTTCACAACTGTAATAATTCAAAAAATCATACAACAAATTAAAGGGAAAAAGAAAGCTTCTTCAGTGTCTCACTCCTCTGTATATCTATTCAAGAAAATTTTATTTTCTTCCTTCTTTTGTTTTCCCAGTCCCGAAATTACTGGAACTTGTTCGACCATAATTGTAGTTGAATCCACAAGCTTAAATTCTCTTGGAAGGAATCCTTTAGTCCGTATCTACACTCTTTTCAAGGGAATTGAAAACCTCCTCCTCCTGCCCCAACCTGCGCTGGAGAGCCCTTTTGTGGATTAATGGCTATCCAAAGCAAGGAGAGTGTAATTGCAATGAGACCCGACCAGACAAATACAATGGTTGGAGTCTTTCCTCTTCTCCCCATCAACCCTTTGGCAAAAGGATAAAGATGAGCCAGTACCCAGAAACTAAAGAAAGCTCCACCAATAAACTTACTCCACTGAGGGACTGAACTGTAAATCGTCCTTGAGAATGCAACCACTATAGCTATTATGTTCACCATTGCTATGACAATCGGGGGTATCATCAAAGATGTCCACTTAACCAAGTACAAGTCGGCGTAGATGTCATTGTTGTCGTCTCCTGAGGACTTGGAAGTCAGAGTGAAAGAGATCTCAATCCCAGCAATGACCTTGAGCAGGCCTTGCAACACAGCAGCCAAGTGAGCACTGGTTCCAGAGATGAGCCAAAACTGTTCATTCCTCCACCATTCTTCAAGTCCCACCCCAGACCATTTCACTTCGAGGATGGCAAGCGAGATTAGGCAAATGGTTATGACTAGGAGGTAGACCAAAAAGGCAACGCTCAGGGTCTGCACAATGAAGTGACCAGAGAAGAGGGAGAGGGCAGGGAGGAAGCAGTACATGATGAGGAACAAAGAAGTGAAAGGGTAGATGCCAACGTTGAGGTAAGCCAGGCGCTGCAGTAACTTGAGGCGACGGCTGCCGAGCAGAGCATTGTTTTTGGAGAAGAAAATCTCTACGGAGCCTGTCGCCCACCGAAGGACCTGATGGAGTCTATCTGTCAGGTTGATTGGAGCTGACCCACGGAATGCATCACGCTTGGTAATACAGTAGACGGATCTCCAACCGCGGTTGTGCATTCGGTATCCTGTGACCACATCTTCTGTGACTGAACCATAGATCCACCCCACCCGGTCACCCCACTCGGTCTTGTCCTCATACCTGTGGTGCAATTTTGCAATCCATGATTAATATTCCTGTTGGAGTGGGTTGTAGTGCTCACTAGGAGGGTGTGTCTGTGTAACGGGGAGGAGAGAGAGTGTGTGTAGGATGTAGTATAATCTATTGTCTATTGTTGATTTATAAAGAGGGTCCCGTTGTGCATACTATTCCTATAGGAGCAATGACATTGGGAATTTATTTAGAACCCTAATTTAGATAATTCATTGTACCTATTAAATTAGAAGTACCAATGTTGGAGGTGACTCACTTTTTAATTTTTATATTTTTTTTGTTTGTTACTTTCCAAACTAAATACTCAAATTAGGTACTAATAATATTTTTTTTAAAATGCAGTTAAAAAAATTAGGTATAAAGAGCATTTTTGTTTTTCAAAAAGAGTCGGTGATGCTTTTATGGACTCTAGTAGACTCCTGTCCAAACTCTTTAACTTGAAACTTTGAACACTCGTTCCCAGTTGATTTTGCATGTATGTAACCAATATGTGAAAGCCCATGACAAGACTCAAACTTACCAACAAGATATGACGGAGACACCTTCTGCTACAGTGGTGGCATCTAGTGGTTCGCGTGGGACTCTGAGAGCACCCGGGGGTCGTCCATACTTCACTGCGGGATGATCAGCAAGGGGGCGACCTTGAAATTCAGCAATCGGTATAGACTCTGCCAGCATTGTAGAATTTCCGAACCTCTTGGGCAATAGGTTCACATCAAGATCAGGGTCAAAATCTGTGGCCTTCAAGGCTTCCATCTCAGACCCCTTCTTAGGCATCTTGTCTGGCATTGGAGGCTCAAACCCATACAATGCAAATCGCCTAAACATGCAGCCTGTCCCAACATAAACAGGGCCCTGTATAGCAAAGTTCTTGCGGTTAATGTTATGATGTTGTGTTTGTGTCAGAGAGAGAGAGAGAGCCTTTGGCCCTAATGTGGACTAATATAAATAGTGGGGACCGAAGAGAATGAACGCGCAAAATAATACAACTAGCAAGAAGAAAATAAATTATATATGTAGGAATACCATACAAACTCTGTACCTGGACACCATCAAGTGCACGCATATTGCCGTCAAAAAACACGGTGTTGTGATTGGCATAGCGGTCAGATGGATCAATACCTTCGAATCTTTGAGGGAACTGTATGTAGCAGATGTCTTCCCCTCCTCTATCCATCATGAAACACATCCCTTCACGGATAGCTTTGCAATTATAGAAGTAGTGATCACAATCGAGGTTGAGTATGAAGGGGCCATTGGACAATATGGCTGATGCTCGAACCAGGCAGTTCATTGCACCGGCTTTCTTGTTATGATCATAGCCCCGCCTCTTCTCACGTGAGACGTACACGAACATTGGTAGACGTATGTCCACATCCGAGAAGTCCCAGATCTTGTCATCAGACCCTCCCATTAGTGGGTCACTGCTTGGGGGCTTCAACATTACCTGTGCATGTACGTGTACGTATTGGACCAGTATATCTATCAGTTCAAGGAAAAAAAGAGCAATGCTACATGAAATTAAAAAGTAGACTTAAAAACTAAACTTGATAATTTCAACCATTGATTTCACTGTGAGTCCCAGCATTTATTGGGACTCACTACCTATTCAATGGTTGAAATTATTAAGTCCAATTTTTAAATTCATGTAACATTACTCAGAAAAAAATGTTAAGTATAATTGTTATACCATGTCAGCATTACCACATAATATAATCATACACTAATAAATAAACAATTTTAAAAGTGAATCCCACTAAAATTTAAAACCAACCAACTATGTAATATAAATTCAATGCATACAAACAAATTTAGGCAGTATAATTTTATCCGATACATAACCACTTCATAAAAAGTGGGCCACATTTTATCTATTTTTTTATTTTCTTATTGGATAGAGTACAGTTCGAAGGTAAATACATAAGAAACGTGTAGTGTTGGGATTGAAATTGAAAACAACTTTGACAGTGTAGCGTTGGGATGGAAAATGAAAACTTTGAAACATGTAGACACGTCAATTCATTTGAACTAACTTTTGGGTGCATGTATATGTATATGTACCTGTAGAATCCCAGCATGATCACCTTTGGAATGCTCACTGGAAGGTACGGCCCAAGTTCCGGGCCAGTGGGTGCCATCAGCCATCCAAGTGGCTTTTGGGACCTTGATTGGCTCCGAAGGGTCAGCGGCACTCTCCCTCATGTGCTTCATCATCTTCATTTCCTCCCTGGCATGGAACGCGTCTGATCTTCTCCTGATAGAATCTGGCAGCCCATTTATCCTCACCTTGAACTCATCATACTCCCTCTTGACCCTTCGTCTGTCTTTCACAAAGTCAGACCTCTTTTTGTTCTTTGTTGGATCTACCTTGAGGCTAAAGTAGGTATCAGGGTTCCTTGGCTCAATGTCGTGTTTGCGACAGAATGGGACCCACAAATCAGCAAAGCTTGCAGCCTCAGCCATGGCTTCAAAGTTGAGGAGAGCGCCTCCGTCGTCAGAAATGTAACAAGCAAGCTTGTCCACGGGATAATCAACAGCTAGGATTGACAAGATAGTGTTGGCAGTAACAAGTGGCGGCTCTTTCTCAGGATCAGCAGTGGACACAAATACGTCAACGCCTGGCAGGTCAGAGCGACCAGTAGGATTCGATGGTGATGGCATTTCAAATTTATCACGCAAGACCTCAAGGTCGGTGGACCGGTTAATGGGGCAGAGCTTTGGCATCTGATCAAGGATCCAAGAGAATGCGAACCATACCTCACATATAACTGACATGAACCACAGCCATATGGCATCCTCGTTTGGATGTTTTAATCTCCATGCCAAAAAGAAGCACAACACAACAAGCCGAACTGCGATCAGCAACCTGCGTGATGAGATGGACTAATCATATTCATTTTTGTGGGATATAATTCTCAAGGAGGATTAAAGTGTTACAGCCCTCTCATCATGTCATATCGTTTGTCCAAAGATTTGTATTTTGCGAAGGACTATTCCATTAAATAAGTATGTCATTTCAGCGTCCAGATCAAAGTCTTATGCTTTCTCGTGGCTTTGATTCTATCTAAAGATTGGCAACCGACACCATCCTGAGTAGTTATGGCCTAGGTGCAATTGGAATAGTTGTGGTTACTGATAGATGATTATGATCAGCAACTTTTTGAAAGCTAATTCGTCTGCAAGTTTTTTTTTGGGCAAGTGAATATCCGATAAGTTGCCAGTGCTATGATGTGATCTTTCTTCAGACCAAAGGAGATCATTCAGAAAGTTGCTAAGGAAGCAGTAAGGGTGCAATCACAATCCAGGACCGGAAATTATGTAAACAATAAAGCATGTCCGAGTTTTTTCTCCAATAATGCACTTTTTTGCATGTTTGCAGCTTGTGTATGTGGATTCTATAGTGCATTTGATTAAACTCGGGAGTTCAGACTAATTCAGACCTGTAAGGGCTGATGATGCCTTGTGGGATTGGCAATGCTCGACTGAGGGGCCTCCATGGTTTATCTGATGGGTCCACCATGCCCCCATGGAGACCTTCATCCCCATCATCCCCATACATATCGTCTTGAGGCCAATAAGCATTACCGTAACCATAAGTACCCTTTGTCTCAAACAACCACTTGTTGTGATCAAAATCTCCAGTTTGGTTCCTCTTCATCATAGACATACGCTGATCAGATTTTGAATCATCTGGGGCTGGCAGTGACAATGCTCCACTAGAAAAGTCTGGTACTTCGTCTTCATAATCCCCCACCTTGTATGGCTCCTTGCAGCCTGGACATAGACCAGTTTCTTTTTGAGCGTCTAGGTAGCAATCCCTGCAAATCTTGAACCTGAAAAACACATTTGGAATTATATTTAATTTTTTGTATTGACTGACAAATCGACAATCTTTTTGCAAGCATGCGAAAAAAAGAACAAAATAGGCTGACGCTCAATTAGAATCACCCAACCAATTAAGTAAATAAACTTTACAGGAAAGCAAATACATTTTATGTAAACCTACCATGTAAAAGCCCGATATGTTAGTTTGTAAACCCAATTTTATATGGGTATTTTGGTACTTTACTTTTTTGGGTATATTATGTAATTTTCATTAGATTTTGTCCTTAGTTGCAATTAGAATTTATTGATGATTTTTTATTGGATGCAAGAGCCATCAGGTGGCTGTCTTTGTTGGCTTGAGGAAACCTGAAGGGGGCAACTCTTGGATAGTCTGTTGGTGAGAGGAAAGCAGCCAAGTGAAGTTGGTTAAGCAATGGCCATCAAGTGCCGCCTCTTTTTGCTTTGAAAGTCTGGAGTATGGCTGGAATTAAGAGGCAGCTTGCTGCGGAAAAACAGAGATATAAAGGGCTGGGCAGCAGCTTCAAAAACAGAGAGTAAAACTGTGTTTTGCTAGGAAGAAAAACCAGCAGGTGTGCCACATGAGCAGGTAAGTGCATGGGTGTTTTGCTGGAAAATTTCAGATAAGTTATCTCCTTTGTATTGCTTGATGAGGGTTTTTGTTGAGTTATATGAGATACATGCAACCAACCAGTTTTGCTTAATTTTGTGTTGCAATTTGCGTAATTTTGGTGATATTATTCTGATATCTATCCAACATTATTATGTTGCATGCACTTACCTGCACTCACAAGGGATTATATCAGCTCCTCTCTCATCCTTCATAACCTTGCCATCACAAACCGGCATATTACACAACGAGCCTTTTGCACCAGCCATTTGTGGATGACTCACCTCCGACTCAATCACCTTGTCCATGAGATGGGCTCGTGTGACGCTGTTGAATCCCCCAGTGAAGAGAGAATTCGAAACATACTGTTCTTCGGCTTTTGCAGCCACAGATGTGTCCATGGGCTGATTGTCTGGTGTGGGAGGAATGTGGACGGTGTAGTTCATGTAATCTCCTGAAAATTCTCCAGACATATCAAGGTCTTCTCTTGAAAGGCTAACATAGCGTCCACTGGAAGTTCGTCGGGCAAATTTCACAGTTTGCCCAGTCGAACTTCTGTTGGCCTGAGAACCAGAAGAACTTCCAGTGCTACGTAATGCCTTCTTAGATGGTTGGGTGGACAAGGATGCCATTTTCTATTTCGTTGATCTTCACTAAGGAGACTTGTCTCCGCCTAGTTAGTAATGGATCATCCCTTCCCCAATCAATGGAGATGCATGTGTCATTCAGTTTCCATGAAATCCAATCATTAGATTACTTGTGGATGAAATTCAAAAGTGGAAGGAAGGTTAGAAAGAAGGAGGAATGGGAGCATGGAATATATGGTTAGAGACCAAGTCCAATCATAACTTGTGGGATAGTCATTAAAACATTCCCCAAATATTAGGACCCTCCCCTAAATTACAGTTGTGGTCCTTATGGAGCTGACTGGATCTAGCAGCTCAAAAAAAAAATTGTTTACTTTTTATTAGAATAGAATATATATATATATATGTGTGTGTGTGTGTGTGTGTGTAAGACCTACAATATTGTACGTGCAAGGGCCTCCTAGAAAAGAACATTAATCTCTCACATTTATAAATGTTAATGTTATAATTCTTTTCTCCTAAAAAAATCTTCTGATCAAATTCCAAAAATTTAGTAGATCTGATTTTTTTATATTCCAACCAAACATGTTTAAAATGAGCAATCCTGTTGGATGCTTTAGTTGGTTGGACTAGGATGTCATTTTCTCTAAATTACTTGGCGGATGAAAATCAAAGGTGGAAGGAAGAACACATGGAATCTATGGTCAGAGACCAAGTCCTATTATTACTTGCGGAACACTCCCTTAAGGCCCCCAAATATTAGGACCCTAAATTATAGTTGTGGTCCTTATGGGACTGACTGGATCTAGTTCAAAACAATTCTTTTTTTTTTTTTTTTACTGTTTAGAATAAGACTTAAAACTACTACAGTATTATAGAATGGCCTAAAATAGAAAAATAATCTCTCACGTTCAAAGGTGATATGATCTCCTTCCCAACAAAAATCTTCTCAAATTCCAAAAATTTAGTAGATCTAATATATTAAGGCCGTAACAATAATGTATTAAATTAGATTGTCAAGTTAAAGATAAATAATTAACTAGGTTTGGTGATGATAATTATTTTATACATACAGTTACAACGAAATTTATATTTGTTAAATGGCTATAACACGCTAAATTGGTCCTCTCCAACTTTTAGAATTGCCAATATAGGTTTAATAAGATGAACTCGGTTAACATTGAAATTTTTTCCCATGAAAACAACACCAAAATTCCAAATGGAAGAAAATCCAAATTTAAAAGTTCAGCATTGTATCAATTTCAAGTATATTTGACAATTTGTCAATGGATTCAAGTTTAATCAATTCGATATGGAATGCATATCGAATTCGATTACTAGAATATGGATTAACATTTTTTTTACTAATTATCTTAAGCCTGAATCCAAATCCACTATGACATATTTCATAGATCTGCATTTGGATCTATCAATATTCAACAAGATTGTAATTTGACTCAATATTTATGTAAAAATACATAATTATATTATAAATTTTAGTCATTACTTGATAAATTTCAAAATTTAGGTTTAATATTTGGTTTGAATATTTAATTTTTAACGAATGTTAATATGGATTGCGAAAACAAAATCCATCAAATAATTGGAATAATTTTTTTTATAGGTATACCTAAGTTAATTGAGAGTCGTAAATTTTGATTTCATTTACGACCTTGACTCCAACTTGAGGTTAAGTTGCTGGTTTAAAACTTGTCGTCTACCTTCCTTGTAAAAGGAAAATAGTCATTAGATCAACCGCTAACTTCAACCTGACCATATCTTCTACAATGTCTAAGGGAAAAAAAGAAAAATAGGTTACAATTGAGTTTGCTTAGCAAGAACGACTAGATGGGACAATCCGAAGCCCACAACATCTAAATCAATCTGAGAGGTTATTTGGATCATGATAATGATGGGTTTAAGTTTGGACTCCTCTAAAGACCAAGACTCTATGCACTTGCAAAAAGTGACCCAAGTAATTCATTCAGACAATATTCATTGGGCTCGAATTGGACTACAATTCAGTTCCACAAAGGCTCGATGTTAACGAGCTTGGTATAGGTACTAGCTCAGGAGATAGGAACACGGCACCAGGCCAGTCTGCAAAAACTGTAGCATGACACATGAACAGGGGACAAGAGAACTTTAAATGACGGCTCTGATGAACAAAATCCAAAGAGAATAGAGACGAATCAAATACTACAGTCAGCAAGTAATAGGTGTAAAAAGGCGTCAAGCACCACAGCTCCATGACAAAAACAAATACAAAGGGAGACCACAGAATTAGCCAAAAAGGATAAACACAAAACCCTAACTGTCAGTTGAATAAATAGCAAACAAGACTATAGTGCACGAGAAAGCCGATGGAAAAACCACCAAGTAAAATCTAGGCAATATCCCATAAAAAGTTTCAAGCCAAGTACTCTGTAACAGCAATCTTTGTCCCCAAACAATACAATCTCCAAGGGACAAAAGTCTCCTTTACAGTGGATATAACCTTACTCCCTTGGCTAAGATGAACCACTCATATCATCGTCTTCTTCTTACATCTCACACACAACATACATACCCACATTCTCCCATACACACACACACACGTTGGGTTTTACCCAAGTCTATTCTGCAGTACAGTCCAATCGATTTAGAGCACCATCAAATCAAATCAAGAAATTGTAAAAATTTGAAATAATGTGGAAAAACAAGGAGCGAAGTCACCCCACAATACGAAGTTGAAATCTCTAATGGCTTATAACAGACTTAAAATTTTAGTAAAACTCAGTCTTATTATCACCATGTAACCCAATCTTAATAAAACTTATTTATTAGATATATGTTAAAAATTTCTTATCTATATAATAAAACATGATGGAACTTAAATTTTATCTCCACTATATTTTCTCCCCCAAATTAACCCAACCCAACCCATCTAACCTAACTCAACCAAACGCATCCAACCTAACCCACCTATCACAACAGTTCCCTGTAAAAAATAGATCCCCATCTCTCTTCTCTCTAACTTCTCTCTCAGGCGATCACATCCCTAAATCCCCCGACAAGCAACCATGCCTGGCAACACACAGGCGGCGAGTCACTTCCCTCTACGTAAACACCCTCCCCCCATCCCTCTTCTGTACAAACACCTCTCTCTCTCTCTCTCGCAAACACCTCCTTCTTTTGTGCCGCTGTCCAAAGCCACAGATCTCTCTGCTTTCTTTGCTCAATCGCACACACAGGGGTTCACCGTCAAAGGGCCTGAGTTCACAGTAAGAATTCTCATTTCGATTTTGTTCAATCACATTTAGAACCGAATTTTTTCTCTTGTTATTTCGTGTTCCTCCAGTGGCTGTTGCAGTTGTTCCAGCTTATCTCCATCGACACTTTTCTCTTCTCTTCTCAATCCTCGGTGCACGATAAGTTTATTTCTAATATTCTGAGATTGCCTCTTTCTCTGCTTCCACTGTTCTTTTGTTTTCATTGTCTTTTTCTTTGTCCAATATCTCTACTTTCTCTACTCAATCGCACACACAGGACTGAGTTTGCTCTTCTGCTATAGCCAGGTATCCCCCCCCCTCCCTCTTCTATGCAAAGACCCAGCAACCCAGCAGACCCCCACCCTTCTTCCCCCTGTGCGCAAACACCCTCCCCCCATCCCTCTTCTGCGCAAACAGAACACAATGGTGAATACAAAAAGCCAAAGCCCACCAAGAGTTTGTATTATTGCTTCAATGAGTTGGCTAATCTTCTCCTTTGATTTTTTGTGAACTTATTTTTTCTAATGCCAATCTTTGTATTTTTTGGGTGAACTTCAAGAAGGGCAAAGACCATTGACCTCCAAAAAATTGGTTTGTTTTTCGAGTTTGTTATTTTCATGGGGTTTGCATTTGTTTGTGTGCTTTACATTTTTTTTGTCTTGCTTTAACGTCTTCATGGGTTTTGCATTTGTTTGGGTGAACATTTTTTTGACTTGGTTTTCTTTGTCTATATTTTCAAAGACCCAACTTNCCCCCCCTTATCCCTCTTCTGCGCAATGACCCAGCAACCCAACAGACCCCCACCCTTCTTCCCCCTGTTCGTAAACACCCTCCCCCCATCCCTCTTTTGCGCAAACAGAACACAATGGTGAATACAAAAAATCGAAGCCTACCAAGTGTTTGTATTATTGCTTCAATGAGTTGACTATCTTCTCCTTTAATTTTTTGTGAACTTTTTTTTTCTAATGCCAATCTTTGTATTTTTTGGTTGAACTTCAAGAAGGGCAAAGACCATTGACCACCAAAAAATTGGTTTATTTTTCGAGTTTGTTATTTTCATGGGGTTTGCATTTGTTTGTGTGCTTTACATTTTTTTGTCTTGCTTTAATGTCTTCATTTTCATGGGGTTTGCATTTGCTTGTGTGCTTTACATTTTTTTTGTCTTGCTTTAACATCTTCATGGGTTTTGCATTTGTTTGGGTGAACATTTTTTTGACTTGGTTTTCTTTGTCTATATTTTCAAAGACCCAACTTTAACGTATTTGAAGGGTTATGAGGTTTAAAACAAGTATTCATTTTCTGAGACAAGGTAATTGGCCAAATTTTTGAAATCCAGAGAGAAGATGAGGTAGCAATGGGTGCTCAAAGATGATAAAGGGCCTGTTGCAACTTAGCAAAACTGCAAGAGAGATAATGTGTGTGTGTTTGTGTGAGAGAGAGAGAGAGAGAGAATGGGTGGGTTTAGGAAATGGGTGAGATTTCTATAGAAGTATAGACAGTATAAATACGTACAATGGAAAAGATGATATAGGTGGTGGGATGGCAATGGCCCAGTCTGGCATCGACTATTGAGAACTTTTGTTTTTGTTGTTGCTACGGTTACTTGATTATGTGAAACAGTACACTATTCATCTCTTTACTTTCTTTTTCTTTTACCTGTGTGATGGTGTCATGGAGGGCATTTCTTCATGGTTATTTTTTTTTTTTGGTGGGGGTAGGGTTCTACGGTGTTTGGGTAAGGAGACATGAAATTGTTTTTTCGGATCAAGGATTGTGTTAATTATGTTTCTTTTGATTCATTAAACCAATTGAGATGTGAACAATCATCTGAAATTTTGAAAATCCATCTTTTTTTCTCTTTAAAACAGGTGTTCATTCCCACATTGATAGAATTTTTACATTTGACAAGGTAATTGCCCCAAAAATGGTTATAATTTTTGTTCGATTTAATTAATTTGCACTAAAAATGAAGCCTACATTTGATATGCATTGGTTTACTATTCACACATAGTAGCCTCTGCTACTAGATACAAGCCCCCGTTTTAAAGGCTCTTAATGCTTCACTGTCGGTTGAAGCTTAATGCTTCATTTATATGCATTGGTTTACTGTTCACACACTCCCATTTTAAAGGCGCTCTTACCGTTCACACATTTGATATGCATTGGAATTTGATGTGTGGTTGATATTTCTTCGTTTTTGTGCCCTCGAAAATTTTATTCTTGATACAATTTCTTTTATGGGAAAATTGTAAAATGTTATTGTGTGTAATGATTAATTGAGAATTTTGGGTTTGTAAATTAGCAAGAATTTTGATTGGTTGCAAAACTACATACACATTTGGTGGGCTAAACTCGGGTTGTGAACTGTAACTGTAAGTTTTGATTATGATTATGAAATATATAAATTTTGTAGACAGATTGATATATTTGTAGGATCATATTTTCAAAGGATACTTTGTCAATCTACATTTTGACTTTTTTTATTTCACTAAAGTCATGGCATTAAAAATAACCAAACAATTTTTAGCTTAATGCATATTTATGTTCATCGTTTGATTATTTCGTATTTAAGAACTATATACAGTATTTTTTGACACGTGGTATAGGGCGAGTTTGTTTTCATAGAATGAAAACTTACATGGATTTACTTTTGAATTCATTGTTTTTAGGTTAGGTATTATGGTTTTGAGTTTGAAATGATTAACTCAAATTATCCCATGCAAATTCATTTTTTTTTAGGAAAAGTTATTTGTTTTTTTTGATTGACAGAGGCTTTATGTTTTGTCTGGGAACAATGAGGAGTTGTTTTTAGTTTCTACATTGCATTGTGCTTGAGTTGAGTTCAATAAATTGTGTATACCATTGGATAATGTGTTTGCCGATAGTAATAATTCTATTATGGTGTCATGAGAACATTAATATTTATAGTCATAGTCATAATACATTTTACCACGATGCCTTGACAATAATTACACTAAATTGATTGTGTGCGCTTTTTTTTATTTGTGAGATTTCAATAGATGGAATTTTGCGTTTCTGGGTAAAATGTTGTGTTTTATGGCTAAGAACATTTTATTCTATTATGCTTGCTCTCTATTCACCTAAGATGATCTAAATGTTAGACATTCTAATTAACATATAGAGTAACTCCATGGTACACGGACCAGTCAAGTAAGTTTTTTTTTGCTGAAAAATACATCTAAAAGGTTAAAAAAGTAATTTGTACTTTGTGGAATTAAATTAGAAAGCTTTGTATGTAATTGTTGTAGATTAATGAATCTACACTACATTTATTTAGCAATAACAATTGAAAATTTTATAGTCACTACATTAGTTTGTCACATTGCCTTTTATATCTCAATTATAATTAACAAAGTGATCATTGCTGCACTTTCTATCTTTATTTAGTTATTAAATTTATCTATTTAAATTCTCACTTAACCCTCTTATTGTGTCACCCCACAATTATGTATTTTTTGAGGTAATAATAGTGAGTGAAGGTTTATCTTTGTGTTGGTGTAGGGTAAGGGGTATACACGTATACGATCTTTCTTAACTTAAAAGTTATAATAAATCAACAAGTGGTATGTGTATATGTGTGTGAATCGCTAATAGAAGTTTGTTAATTTTTCAGACGAGAGGTTCTTTGACTTTATTGGGCAATTCATATTGAATGGCGTTAGAAGTTATGAAAGCAAAATTTGGTGATACTACATCTTTGAGGTGAATAGGATAGTCATGAGACTACACATTCATGGGGCATGCTCCCCTTTTCGTTGAAACTTTTGGAATTCAAATTAGTGCAGATTAATTACGATTTGTTTTTTATGGTTATTAGGTATGGTCCTAATAAGTTTAATAGTGTAATTTTTTTATAAAATATGAAATTTAATTATCATAACAAGCTTACTTTATTTGAAATTCTAGCTCTAAGTTTAGATTATCATTTTCTTTTCTTTTAAAGGTTTTAGGACTTTTTTCATTTGATATCTAAAGGTCATGGATACTAAATATCTTAGTTTGTAACATCTTAATTTATTTAAATTTTACTTTGTAGGGTCCATATTCATTAGCGATTATTGAAATTTTGTGTAATACATTTATTTCGAACATAGATACATGTTTGCAATTTTTTATGAGTTACACAGTGCCTTCACGCATAAGTAATTACTAGTATACCCATACTGTACCACGAGGGCTGTGCTCTCCCCCACCCCAAAACCCAACCACACCCTTCTCCCACTGGCGAATTGATTTTTGGACCTAGTAATATGAGTTATTTATTATTCCCAACATAGTTTTAAATGGTTCATCAACTTGTTTTGCCAAAAAAAAAGACCACCACAACGATCAAGCAAATCGTCTTATGGACAAGGGTAAAATGATCTTTTACCTTCTAACAGATTAAAGTCCCTTAGGATGACTAAATTTTTGAAAAAAAGAAAGAAAGAGCATAATGTGTTTCAAAAACATTATATCGTCCGTTTCTTATTTGTTTACCCAAAATCATTGATCACCAAAAGACAAATGATGTTACTTATGGAGATATTTCTATAATTTAAAATTGGATACATACTATGATAATGCCTCAAGTTTGCATTTTGTATTCTCTAGTCAGTATACAGAATCATTCTTCAAATTTCTTCAGTTTCACGCCAAGATTATCCCAAAAATCATTGTACAAGCTACCTCGGCACTCTTGAAAGTCTAAATGATGTTAGGGGGTCATAATAGTTTAGATGATTTCCCAACTCCATTGGGATTGAAAGAGGTTTATGAGAATTTTTTTTTTCCCCTGGGAGGAGTGGGCTTATCAACATTGCCATCAATATGATAGTTAAATTATAGAGGATATAGAAAAAGAACGAGTATCAATTATAAATCTATAATGAGAGGAATCACAAAAGCTGATTACATTGATGATACAAATTATGTTGGCCTAAAACGAGTCTCATAAAATAAATTGCTAAAAGAAATGAGGCAACAAAAATGGATAAGACGAATGTCAACTTCAAACCTGCACTTGGAAGTGTGCATAGTTGTGAAGTGAAACCTACATATATAAGGTCAACAACACGCAGGGATTGTGTTAATATCAGTTCCAGGTTTCTACACCATCAGTTGGACCTGCTCCTCGTCATACATAAGTTTGAGCTCTGCTAAATACAAATACTCCACCACCAACGGCACGACCCAAAAGCATATTGCTATCCAGATATGAAAGGTAATATAGTCCTCCTGCAGATCGCCTGCAATTAATTTATTGTCATTGTTTGCATGAAAAGCTTGTAAAGCTGCAAGATTATCATATACCTCGCTGGGTTTCTTACAGGTACTTGAGCTTTGAATGATTGGATTAACTGCAAGATCTGCGGAAAAAGCATTTGTACAACTCTCAAGGCAAAAAAATTCTATTAACTGCTAAAATCTGGAAGTTATTTGACTATCATTGATCAACTTGACATTAACCCTTTGAAACATTATGTGCTGTAATCAAGCCACAAACATGAAGAACAAGTCTCTGTTATCAGTTGTTGTTTATGTGTTGGGTAGACAGAAAAGGCATCTGAGGTATGAAAAACAAGTTTCCTTAAAATATGCTTACTAGTAAGCTAGTAAGTAAATAAGCATGTCCAAGGTTGAAGGATGACGACCCAGTGGCAAGTGATCATCCCTCTAATGGTAACCACCTTCGAACAGCCCAACCTCAACCCCCACCCCCAACCCAAAAAAGTCAGCAACAGTGTTATTTAAGATGAAAGGTGCACCATTGTGCCAAGGTTCTGAGGCCTAGGCAAAGCGCATGTTGTGAATAATATGTAAAAATCAAAAACTACACACAAAGAAAACTAAATAAAATCATCAAACTGTTTCAAGCAAATACATCATGCTTCTTACAACCCTAAGGCTTATTTCATAGTTTTAATAGCTAATTGAACCAAAACATGTTTATTTTTTAAAAAAAATAGAGGCTAATTCTAGTAAATTGGGAACTATTTTCATAAAACAAAAGGAAAGAAAAACCAAGAGTGAGAGAACAAAAAAGATATTCATATTTGGAATTAGATTAGAGTGGATCTGTGAATTTCAAACTTTAAATTCAAAAACAGACTGAATTAGGGGCCGAGACATGCCTGCAGACTTAAAAACGTCCTTGGTAGCAGTGCTGGAACTATTAGAGCTTGCAACTGTTCACTAATCTTTATGTTCTCGACAGCTATCTGGCAAAAAAAGCGAGCCAATTTCAGAAATGTAAAAAAATAACACTATCAATGATCTTTTTTTCTGTTTTTATTTTCTTCTCCCTCTTGTTAAAGAAAGAAAATACTGGGAGTTAAGAACTGAAGAAGGTATCCAAAGCAGTTAATGGCTTCCAACTATGAAGACCATATCCCAGCCCACTTGGCCATCCCGATATCGATTAGCACTGATTCTGTCTTTGAGCCTTATGCAGGGGTATAAGAGCCTGATATCATTACCAATGGACGCAAAGAAAAGATACAGCCATCTGGGAAGACATTGAAGCTTCTGCGGTCAGCTCAGCATCACTTACAGATTGAAATAAGGATAGGCCCACTCCTTAATATATTTGTTGCCGTTACAATGGCAAGCACTCCTGTATTTTTAGCAGCATTGTCCAGAGTGATTACTGCTCTAGAATTGGAAACATTTATAAAGTTTTCCTCTGAAGATCATGGTGATACATCAGACAGAAGCTCCTACTACAACGCCATCAAATATGTTGCCCATATTAAGCAAGTGAACCAAGTGGTTAACATTAGGACCTTGAAAACAAATGGTTAGCACAAGCAAAGGAAAGATGTTCTAAATGTTGTAATTACACTGGAGGCATCTTAAGCAGTTCTTTTTTAGGCAATCCAACAGAATATTAAGAAAGTGTAGGAGTTGCTATCCCTCAATGATGAGTGCCTGGACCTGCAGAGGTTGAGCTGGTTCTGGAACAGAACTAGAGGAAGTTGAATGGTCAACAGAGGTAGATGTTAACTTATTATGTTTTAAAGAAGAAGAAACCAACCTCTTCAAACTGGAGGTAGATGTTACGCAGAGATACAACAGAGAATTTTGCGGATACAATCAGAGTGGCACCTTCCTGCTTCTGTAAAGCAAAATTCCAAAAAAAGTGTTTAATGAAATGAGAAGAGAAGGACAAACGAGAAGAATTACTTCCTCGAAACTTCTACAATAACTTTCCATTGTCCATTGGCTTTGAAATTGTGGCATAGAACTTATGGAGAGTTTAGTTTGAGTTAGGTAACTCCAAGAAATTTTTCTTTATTTGAGATCAATTATCCTATTTTTGGGAAGGGATGTAGGGCTTCCATATTGTGGCCAGTGTGATTATGGTGATTATTTGAGTGCTATGGATGGAAAGGAATAAAAGAATTTTCGATGGGAAGAAAGAATACGCTGAGTTTCTATGGGACAAAGTAAAGTTCTTGGCTTCCCTTTGGGTGGTGGTATCTAAAGAATTTAAGAAGTGTCATTCTTTTCCCTTGGTATAGATTGGATTGTGGCATGTAGTTAGATGATTACCATTAATGTTCTTAACCTGTATTGCCTTTTAATTTGTTTTTTGTCTTCCTATTGGTTGATTTCTTGTTCACCTTTTGTAATTTTTTAACACCACTGAGAATCAAGAGTGTTCAGTACTTACCTTCAAGTTGGTATGCATAGATAATGGTAATTTGGGAGGATTAGGGTGTATGTGTCAACCAACAAAATACAAACATGGATTTATTTAAGATAAGAGCATAACAGCTCATTTCTTTCATTATGCAAAATCTTATTTTGAGTAATGCTAGATTGACCAAAGAAAAGGATCAATAACAGGAACTAAATAATGTGGCATTACCATAATGGTATTATTGGTTCTACTTTTACACACTTGAAATTTAAAAATTTTTCTTTATGGTAATGCCACATCATTTATTCCCTATTTATGATCCCTTTTTTGGTCAATCTAGCTACTCCTTATTTTTTTGGGGACAAAAAAAGAGCATGCAAGGAAAGTAATGCATATATTGTGCCGTTCCATCATTATGCAGAGTAACAACATTGGAAGTCAATACGAGCAATAATCAGGATATCATGATAATTCAGGGGTTATTACATCTATTACCGCAAATGTGTAGATAATTAGGAATATCGTCTCATATACCATCTAGAAAGGTATAAGAAATGATCTACAATATTCTAGCAGACGACGTGATTGAAGACATATTGGATAATCATTAGTAAAAACATTTTTAGCACATGATTTAATGTTTTAGAAGAAATGGTCACATAATCATATCCTGAAATTAGACTACTCAAAATAAACATTTTGGTTTTCTTCTACTCAAAATTTATGAGTTGGATCATGCAATGCATCATGGAAATGTATTTACTGGAACTTGTTAATCAGGTCCATTAGACTATTTTAAGCCAACTCAAGGTCAAGGCAAGGTGATCTCCTCTCTCTCTCTCTCCGTTTGCATTTACCTTAAGCTCTAAAGATTCATAAGGGATTCTTTGAGGGAGGGAAGCTGGGTGCTACATGATATAAAGATTGCTAGAACTTTTAATTTGGAATCACTAAACGGTTGTTGATGATCTCATGGTTCCTGATAGAGCCAATACACCTCAATCAATGGAATTTAGCAGAGTGATCATGCCAGGAAGTTAACCATTCCTATGCAAAAATAATTTTCCAGCTTGAAGCTTCCATTAGGTGAAAAAGGTCCTAACCTTTGCAAGACGGTTGACCCCAATTAGATGTGTAGGTCAGCTATTTCAGCCAACACTGTGCATTCGTCATTCGCCATTATCCGAATGTGATTAGATGGCCAGTACTCTTGGAAATTTTTGTGGGGACCTTTAAGGGAGACTAAAAGACCAAGATATCTCCTTTTCTTTATCTGAAAAAGATCTAGATATCTCAAAGCCTGCAATTCACTATATAATCCTAAAAACACTGCTAGATTGGGGTTTATGAGATAGAGAAGCATCAACAGAATTCTCAGGACCAAGCTATTCTAACAGCTTATGTTGGGTTAAATGGGCCTCTGGGAATCTGGGTGGTTTTATTGCATAGCAAATGCTGCTGCAGACTAAAAATGACTCAATCACTCGATACATCATAAAACATTTAACATTGTCAGGACATTGCATCAGAACAGACATACTCCAATACACGGGGAAGGACTCCAGTTGATACTGTTCATGGTACTGCTCACAACACCCAGCCATAAAACCACTCTTTTCTCATTAACACCCCCATGTCAGAAACCTGAGAGAACAATTTTTTCTAACCTTTGGTGACAGAATTAAACAATAATCAGTTTCTTCCCACATTATTCCAACTTTTCTTAGCTTTCACATGGGTCACTTTAGATTCGACTTTGTTATTCACCCCTTACTCTATTTGAGGAAGTGAATTTTCAGGGTGTTAATCTCCTTGCGGAGAAGAACGCAATCCAACGTCTAATGACCCCGAGCGATACGGGTCTTACTTAAATTTTGGCTCGCAGTTGAACAAAAAAAAAAAAGAAAGATTTTGGTCCAACAACAATTGCCCAGCATAGAGCAATAGCATGGTGGCCCTAAATCTTGGGAACTCAAATAATAGACCATTTCCATAGGGCAAAAAAAGTGATTCTGTTCCCATAAGAGGAATTGATATCCCCCAGTATAGCTTCCGTTTAAGAGAGTGTGACAGGGAGTAAATTTGTCTCCAAAACATGCTAGTGTTAGGTAGGATTAAAAGAAAGCAGAATTTTACCTCTAACAAGTTTGGAATACTCCACTGAACAACATTGCGGACATAACCTCTATCAGATAGATCCTCGCATTCAAATTTTTGAAAAATTTGTCCAACCTGTCCGCACACCCAGACACTTGTCAATTCTTGACAAGCAGAAAAAATACAATAGGTACCTTTATAGCTATTAAAAACTATGAAAAAGCATTGTCAAACAGTATCACTGGGGAAAAAATAGATGTGATGGTGTAATTTACACGGTTGTGTAGCAGAGCTCGAGTCTCATGAGAAAGAAATGGATTAAAGATTTAGTAAGAATGATAATGGAGATTCACTAGGACGTCCAGGCAAAGCTACTAGGCTCATAGTGGTGAATAGTCAATCACAAAGCAACAACCATCAATAGAAATCGCTAGACAGGAGATTTATGGTGGTTCAGTAGCATGGAAGTTTGGCTAGTCCACTTTAATGGAGTCTCTTGCTTCTGGAGTCAAAGATCAAAATATCATTTTGAAACAGTCCAAACATAAGAAACATTTCCNTATTCTAACAGCTTATGTTGGGTTAAATGGGCCTCTGGGAATCTGGGTGGTTTTATTGCATAGCAAATGCTGCTGCAGACTAAAAATGACTCAATCACTCGATACATCATAAAACATTTAACATTGTCAGGACATTGCATCAGAACAGACATACTCCAATACACGGGGAAGGACTCCAGTTGATACTGTTCATGGTACTGCTCACAACACCCAGCCATAAAACCACTCTTTTCTCATTAACACCCCCATGTCAGAAACCTGAGAGAACAATTTTTTCTAACCTTTGGTGACAGAATTAAACAATAATCAGTTTCTTCCCACATTATTCCAACTTTTCTTAGCTTTCACATGGGTCACTTTAGATTCGACTTTGTTATTCACCCCTTACTCTATTTGAGGAAGTGAATTTTCAGGGTGTTAATCTCCTTGCGGAGAAGAACGCAATCCAACGTCTAATGACCCCGAGCGATACGGGTCTTACTTAAATTTTGGCTCGCAGTTGAACAAAAAAAAAAAAGAAAGATTTTGGTCCAACAACAATTGCCCAGCATAGAGCAATAGCATGGTGGCCCTAAATCTTGGGAACTCAAATAATAGACCATTTCCATAGGGCAAAAAAAGTGATTCTGTTCCCATAAGAGGAATTGATATCCCCCAGTATAGCTTCCGTTTAAGAGAGTGTGACAGGGAGTAAATTTGTCTCCAAAACATGCTAGTGTTAGGTAGGATTAAAAGAAAGCAGAATTTTACCTCTAACAAGTTTGGAATACTCCACTGAACAACATTGCGGACATAACCTCTATCAGATAGATCCTCGCATTCAAATTTTTGAAAAATTTGTCCAACCTGTCCGCACACCCAGACACTTGTCAATTCTTGACAAGCAGAAAAAATACAATAGGTACCTTTATAGCTATTAAAAACTATGAAAAAGCATTGTCAAACAGTATCACTGGGGAAAAAATAGATGTGATGGTGTAATTTACACGGTTGTGTAGCAGAGCTCGAGTCTCATGAGAAAGAAATGGATTAAAGATTTAGTAAGAATGATAATGGAGATTCACTAGGACGTCCAGGCAAAGCTACTAGGCTCATAGTGGTGAATAGTCAATCACAAAGCAACAACCATCAATAGAAATCGCTAGACAGGAGATTTATGGTGGTTCAGTAGCATGGAAGTTTGGCTAGTCCACTTTAATGGAGTCTCTTGCTTCTGGAGTCAAAGATCAAAATATCATTTTGAAACAGTCCAAACATAAGAAACATTTCCGTTTTCAAGGAGACCGAAACGAATCAGTGATAGAATCGAAATTCTAATACTTCGAGGTGTTCCATAATGTTTCAAAATATTTTGTTATATTTCAATGCATTTAAACAATTATATCAGAATGTTTAAAGGTATTTCAAGATATTTTAGTATATTTAAACCAATATTTTGAAAAAATAATTCTTAAATTTTTTATTTTTTTTATTATATTTTCAAAACGGGTCGAAACATTTTCGAAACATGTTGAAATATTTCAGTTTCTAGGTGACCGAAATAATGCACCGAAACGAAATTTCGATCCTTACCTGAGGGATTTGCTACTATTTGAGAAAGAAGATTACAAGGCTACAGAGAGTCTATTCTCAAATCTCTTATCCTTTACAAAGCAAGGAGTTGGTCTCTATTTATAGTGTATACGAGCTTTGCGTAATCAGCGTGATCCTGCGTAGCTATCGCGATCCTTGCATAATAGTCATGATCCTTACGTAATAGTCGGGATCCTAGCGTAATCAACGTGATCCTCTTAGGGTTGTTACGACCCATAAGGTGGAATATTTGGCCGTTAAAAGCTAAATTGCCTGTGTGTGATGTGGCCTTATAGAAAATGTGAGCTGTCGCTATCACAGTGTGCACGAGGGTCACGTTAATGATGATTCCTGATCTGCACCTATAAGATGGAAGACCTGAGCTGGGGTCTGAGCTAAGAGGTCCAACCTGGAAGACCTGAGTTAGGAGGTCTGAGCTAAGAGGTCCCTGAAAGACCTAAGCTGGTGTAACAACCTGGAGAGCTAGGGATTAAGGGCTCAGCTCGTTCACTCGATTTTGGTTCTATCGAACTAGAACTCAGATTTTGACGTTATCATACGGGCCCCTATTGGGGGCATGTCTCTAAGCTGCTTTTGGGCCGAGCTTAATCTTGGATAATTTTTGGTATCATCAGTTGTCCCCTAGTCCTGAGCCAGGTTTGTCTTGCCTGACGTTGATTGCAAATGGCCTGCGCTTCTGACTGTGGATAAGCTCAATTCATATGTTACTTGAAATATTGTTACGGGGCCGAGTCGACGGTCTGCATGGCCCCCTTGAATTGAGCTTATTGAAAATTTATGAGCTTGAGGAGCTCATCATATGTTTATGAGCTTAAAAACTCATCGTATGCTTATGAGTTGAAGAGTTCATCGCTTGTTTACGATCTTGAGAGCTCATTTTAAGTTTATGAGCTGAAGAGCCCATCATATGTTTATGAGCTGAAGAGCTCATCATGAGTTTATGAGTTAAAAAGCTCATCTTGAGTTTATGAACTTAAGAGTTAATCGTATGTTTATGAGCTAAAAAGCTCATCTTGAATTAATGAGCTAAAGAGCTTATTGCGTTCTCTAAAAGAATGAGTTGAATCTTTCATTCATTGATGGAGAATCTTTACAAACCACCTCTCATTTTTTGATGAGAGCTTCTTCACCATTGATGTATTTTTCTGTTTTTGCCAACACCTCGGTCATATTGGCTTAGAGGTTCTTGACAATCGAAAATAACAAATCCTTTGATTAGACCCCCAACCCAGTGGTAAAGGCTACGAGGGCGAACTTCTCATCAAGGGCATCCACTTTTAAGGACTTCGAGTTAAATTTCTGAATATAGCTCCGCAGTGATTCATTTGGACCCTACTTCACACTCAACAGGTGGTAGGAAAGCTTTCGGTAAATTTCGGCCCCTATGAAATAGGATACGAATAAAATAGAGAGCTCTTTAAAAGACAACATCAAAGTTGGGGCTAGCCTATTGAACCAAGCTAAGGCTGAGCCTTTTAGGATGATGGTTAAGGCCCAACAACGCAGTGGATCGTTGTATGCAAACAATTTCATCTAATTCTTGTACGTGTTGAGGTGGTCTATGGGATCTTTCGTCCCATCAAATGTTTCGATATAAGGCATTTTGAATTTTTTATGAAGAGGAAAGTGTAGCACCTCGGAAGTGAATGGTGACTTTATTTGTTAACCAAAGACATCTATAGTCATCGGAGCTTAGCTTTTCACCGCCTCCTTCATGTGGCTTAACTCCTACTGGATATCCCTGAAATCTCGCTCCTAGAATTGATCCCTCCCATTTTGTTGGGAAGAAATTGGGATGCGCTCGTCTTTGCAGACTCCTCTGATTTGACTCTGGACCTCATCTTCCTCACCCTTTTTTGGGGCTCTGCAATGCACGTTACCAGCAGAGTGACTAAGATCGTTCTCTTCTGTAATCTCCTTTAAGGGATTCTAAAGATGATGTTCCCCATGCTAGGGATCATACTGGGCTGGTTATGCCCTCTGGAGATTCTAAGCGTGGATAAAAGTTACTAAATCCTTATTTTGCTTAAGGAGGCATTCATTGACTTGATGCAACACTTCTAGTTTGTTGTTTGGAGGGGGATCTGTCATTGGCAAATTGTCTTTTGGGTTCAGCAGAGGATTTGCTAGAATTCTCTGTTATCCCACAGCATTGGCTTCTTGCTAGTTCTACCAACGTAGTATTGGTTTTTTTGAGTTTTGCTCATGTTGTGCATAAAGACCATCAATTATTGAAAGATCAATAGAATTTTAGCAAGAATCGAAACAATCGTTCTCATAGACGACGCCAAACTGATGGCGCAATTTACGCGGTTATATAGTAGAGCTCGAGTCTCAAAAAGGGAAAATGGATTAAAGATTTAGTAGGGATGATAATGGGAATTCACTGGGACATCCGGTCATAGCTACTAGGCTCGTAGTGGTGAATAGTCTCGATCACAGAGACAACAACCACCAATAAAAATCGATAAACATGAGATTTATCGTAGTTCGTCAGCTCGAAAATTTGACTAATCTACTCTAATAGAGTCTCTTACTCCTGAGGGGTTTGCTATTATTTGAGAAAGAATATTACAAAACTATAGAGACTCTATTCTCAAATCTCTCATCCTTTACAAAGTGAGGGATCGATCCCTATTTAAAGTGTGTACGAGTTTTGCGTAATCAGCATGATCCCTGCCTAGCAATCGTGATCCTTGCGTAGCAGCCGTGATCCTTTCGTAATAATCGGGATCCTTGCGTAATCAACGTGATCCTTTTTGGGTTGTTACAACCCATACGGTGGAATATTTGGCTGTTAGAGACGAAATTCTCTTTGCGTGACTTGGCTTTCTGGAAAGTGAGTTGTCACTATCACAGTTTGCACGAGGGTCATGTTAATGATGATTCCCGATCTGCATCTATAAGGTGGAAGACCTGAGTTGGGAGGTCCGAACTAAGAGAGGTCCGAATTGAAAGACCTGAACTAGTGTAATGACCCGGGGAGCTAGGAATTGGAAGCTCAACTCGTTCACCCGATCTTAATTGTTTCGAACTGGAACTTAGATTATGACATCATCATGCGGACCCCTATTGGGGCATGTCTCTGCTTCTGGGCTGAGCTTCACCTTACATAATTTTTTGTATCATTAAGATGTATGCTAAAAATAAAAGGATCCCAATTACGGGAGGAACTGCAAGCCCACACACATAAGGGGTTCCTAAAAATGTGGTTTTGAAATAAATGGGAAAATCATTTAAAAATGATAAATTGCGTATGTATTAAGAAAAAGGGAATGGAATGATGGCATCATTTGAATGAATATCAATATGTAGGGTAGATGACAAGAAACCTGGAAGAAGGGAAGCCTAGCGGCGGACTCCAGAAGAATGAGGACATCAGGGGCAGATGTGTACTGCAAACGCCATGTACCGTCCAACCTCCCAAAGTCAAATGGATTACCAGCATCGTAACTTTCCACACTCACCTGTCCCATTGATTCCTATTACTTTGGCCCCTGTGGTGAGCGACTAAATCGAATTGAAAGCAATAAAATAAGCAATGTGATAAGAGAGAGAGAGAGAGAGAGAGAGAGATGTATCCATCCATATTTTTAGGGAAGGAAAGAAGGAAGCAGACCAAAGCCTCCTCAATGAAAGAGCGTTGATCAGCAGTTGTGACAAGGCCCCGTTGCGTGTCTTGGATGGCTTTCAACAGTTGGAATTTACTATTTTCCAACTCAATTTCAACCTGCTGCTAAAACCACCAAACAACACTCAATCAATCAGCAAGAGAAAGACGAATGACTTTTGAGTAACAATCTTATATACTCTACTCCTACTGTACTGTGAAACAAAAGGTTGGGAAGAAGGAAAAAGGGAGAGTAGAATTCTACCTTTGTTGGCTGGGCAGCTACGTTTGCCAGATAAGGTAATCTATTTCGGGTGAACCGTTCTCTCGCGGCATTTGGGGTTGGGAGTCTTGGAACTGAGCTCTTTGTCCACCCAACGGCTCTCGTTCCAGTTGGAGGGTACAAAAGAGAAGCTGATGCCAAGTCCATTTCTCAAAACACGCAGACAGAGAAACCGAAGGGGCGGGGGGGAATGGGTGATATTGTAGATGAGATCAAATTATTTACCGCACAGCCGAATGGAAAATAGGATATGATAGACAAAATAATATTAGTTAAGGATAATTATTTTTAAAAAAATTATTTTAAAATCCAATACACAGATACACTTCAGAAATTAAAACGAAGAGAAAATTTTAAAATTAAGAAATTTGATTGATTCAAATATTTAATTTAAGAACTTATAAAGTTTATATAATAAAGTGTAAATAATTTTGAATTTTAATTTATAAAATCATTCAAATGATTAAGATTAATGGATAAATATTTGGGATTATTTCGACATATAAAGTTAATTCTCTAATTTTATTTTTTCGCTAAAATTTTATTCAGCCCAACAAAATTTAACCCTTTAAATCACGCAATTTATGATATCATATCTCTTATTTTCTTTTTATTTTCAGACCGAATCATGCTATATAGAGCATTTCCAACAACAAATTATATTTTAGTTATCCAAAAAGTAACTTTTTTTATTTTAACTACTCACTTTTTTAATACACACTCTAACAAATTCTCTATATTTTTAACTACTCTTTTTAAATATTATTTCTCATTCCTTTTATATATCTTTTTTTGGAAATAATGAAAGAAAAAAAGAGAGAGGATCGAAGAAAATAGAGAAAGAGAAAAAAAATAATATAAAATATGTTTATAAGTTGTTATAGTAATATACTATATTTAAAGTATCGTTATAGTAAAAATTTACTTTAAAATATCTGAAGAACATCTATTAAAATATAATTTTTTATTTTGATAAGCTAAATTTTAGTTATTTTTGTGTTTTACAGCATCTCTGATGCTCTCACGTAACTCTCTCTAATATTCGATATCCTAATCACCCCTCCATCTATTATTTGTGTTTCACACGTATCCTCACTCTCACCGTCTCACCCTTCTTCTCTTCCAACAGCGACGACGCCACCGACTGCCATCAGCAATCACCCCTTCCCTCGCCACCAGCTGCCACCAGGTTTCTCTTCTTCTCTTTTTGTAACTGTGTCTCTCTGTCTCTCTCTCCCCCAAGCAAAAACACCTCCCCACCTGAAAAACATCCCAGCTCACACACTCAGTCTCTTATCTACGCACAGACGAATTTCTGAAACTTCTCCTCTCTATGCACAAATGAATTCATTTATCCCGCCCAAACGAAATTCTTAAACCTCACAAAATCTTCCTCTGTTCTTTAATTCTCTGATTTATTACTTTGAAACTTTTATATCTCTTCTCAAATGAGTAATTCAAAAAAAAATGAATATGGAAACAACACCAAAAGACAAAAAGAAACAGAAAAAAAAAATTATTCTAATCTATTATCTTCTTTTAGAAATTCAAATAAAATGAAAGAAAAAGAAAAAAAAAAGTTAGTCACTTTGACATGGTACTGGTATGGAGAATACAAATAATGGATCGATTTCAACAAAAGTGATTGATTGAATAAATAAAATGATAAATTTCTTCAATTTGTGGATAGTAAAACCTTGAAATTTCAAGAAGAATCAGTAACTTGAAATTGTATTATATACAATGTTTAACTAGAAAAAATCAAATAAAAATTTGATGGATAGGCTTAAAATTTATATAATATGAAAGATATGTGAGATTAAGGTTTTAAAAAACATAAGAAATTAAGAAGATAAAATATGAAAATAAATAACCTTACCTACAAGTCTGAATGTTTTGACAGTAGTCTGCAATGAAAACAGGGTAGGGAATATGTTGTCGAAAAAAATTTATGTGCTTTGATAAGGTAAAAGTTGACCATTAGAAATTTTATAAAGAATTTGAGTTTCTCTCAATTTGGGTCCAAAATAATTTTTTTTTTAGTTGATATAAGTTTGAATTCAAGCTTAGAGAAAGTTTTTGAACCATTTAGATACAAAATTAAATATAAATCTAAATTAAAATCAAGATTGAAAATGCTATTACGCCATCGATTGCCATATGGTTTTTTAAATTGGAAGGGTGGGGGTGGAATGGTTTGTGTCGATTTACTCTTATGTAAGGGGTAGAAATCGCTATGGATCTCATCCCTCCACTTGAAGGATTCCGGCTGACTTGGCAGCACCGAACCCCCAGTAGCCTTTACCGTAAAGGGTAGAAATCGTTACAGATCTCATCCCTCCATCCCTCCACTTGAAGGATTCCGGTTGACCTGTCGGCACCGAGCCCTAGTAGCCTTTACCTCTCTTCGCCAATAGGACCCTTTCCTAAGACAATCCCACATCTGAAGAGAGTCGTCTCCCCCCTGCCATATAAGTGAACACTTCCTATGGAGGGGGTACCCACTAGCGAAGTGTTCACTTATATAGTAGGGGAAGAGACGACTCTCTTCAGATGTGGGATTGTCTTAGGAAAGGGTCCTATTGGCGAAGAGAGGTAAAGGCTACTGGGGCTCGATGCCGCCAGGTCAACCGGAATCCTTCAAATGGAAGGATGAGATCCGTAGCGATTTCTACTCTTTACATCTTATTTCTTTCAATATTCAATCATACTTCTATGTTTCATTGTATTGTTGTTGTGATTAAATACATGAAATTTGTATCATGGCCTTCAAAAAGTTTGCATCAGGTCCTTTCACCAACAGTGGTTGCTTTATGAAATTCTTGACATGAAATTGACTTTTATTTCTTAATAAACCATCAAGAACAAAGAAAAATTTTAACTGGGTTGTTGATTGAGTTGTACTTGGTAGAATCAGTTTTGGAATTTTCATATTCAAAATTTCTTTCATTGAAAACAATAAGTTAAAACCACACTTCTATATAAACAATAATAAATTGAAATTTAAGTTAAAAATAACACCAAAATGTTATTTTTTTATTTATTAAGATAATAGAAGCATATTAATAAAAATTTAATATAACATATATAGATACTTTTGAAAGGTTGTCAAAATGAGCGCTTTACAAGATTTGTTTATAGAAAAAAATATAAGAAATATTTCATCCACGCCGCCTGTTATTAGGTCTAAATCCAATTACACCACTTCTCATTTTTGAAACTTTTCAGTAGATGTCGGATTATGGTGTTAACAGCAATGATTGATTTATAGAAATACCCTGGATATTTTATAGGGATAAATTTTATCCACACCCCTTGTAAATAAGCCTAATTTTAACAACGCTCTTGTAAATATACTTAATTTTAACAACACCCCCATCCCTGATTCTGAAATTTTAATGTACTCCTTTTTTGTTATATTATAATAGCTTTTAGGTTGATCAATTTAATATTTAATTTTATCAAATTAATGTCATTTATTTAATTTTAACTATATTAATACTCCATCTTATCAAATCAACACAAAATTGATATTTAATTTTATCAAATTAGCATTTAGTTACATTAATTTGTGAAATATTATTACTTTAATTTAACGATAAATTATTATTTAATTTCATCAAATTAACACCAAATTGACATTCAATTTTATTAATTTAAAATTTAATATATTAAATAGAATATTAAATTCTATTAATTTAACATTTAACCTTCATGTCATTTTTTTAATTTAACACCAAATGAACATTCAATTTCATTAAAGTAATATTCAAATTTATTCGATTAACATTAAATTTTTATCAAATCAACACTAAATTAGTATTTAATTTTATCAAATTAACATCAAATTAATATTTAAATTTATCAAATTAAGACCAAATTTATTTAATTAATATTAAATTTATCAAATAATATTTAAATTTTATGTATAAAGGGTGATGTGTGAAAAATGGCCAAGTAATGTTGTGGATGACAGATGATAGTAGAGAAATTAGAAATTAATGAGATTTTGACGTTAATTTTATCAATTGTAATTTTTGTTATAAAAAAATATTTTTAATTATATAAATTATAAAAACTTGATTATGTAACTAAATGAGTTATAATATAATAACTAATATTATAACAAAGTTTATCATATAACGTTTTAAAATGATAAAAATTTATTGGGATAATATAATGATATAAATTACAAATGGGAAAATGATTGAAGATATTTTAGTTATTCACATAATAAAGGGTAATTTTAGCATTGTTACAAAATATTTAATAAAATTATGACTTTATCTACTAACAGAGATAAAAGTTATCGTTAAAGAGGTGTTATTGATTTGAAAGTATAAACTATAAGGGGTGTAATAAGTTTCAGAATTGGAATTTACAGTCATTGAATTTAAACCTAATTATACAAAGCGTGGATGAAATTTTTCCAAAAATATGTTATAGTATATGCAAAGTAAATAACACATCTATTATATATTTTTAGAAATATAAAAAAAATACAAAATTATCTAATCAATGCATTCCGATGAGAATATTCTGAAAGCATATTAGAGGTAGAATGGACCTATAAATACCCCATTAAGGGTTTATCACTTAAAATATATGAGCTATTATTTGTTATAAAAAATCGCAGATTTCAAATATCAAAAAACGTAAAAAAAAATGAATTTTATTTTTTCTAGTTTAAATATTTTTAAACCCTAAATTTGATTGAAGAGTTATTAACTCCTCAAATTTTATATTGTATACCCTCCCAAACTCCATCTCTGTGAATATAAATTAATTAATATATTTTGATTTCTTTTGAACTAATTTTTTTAATTAATTATAAATATATTTATGATTGACAATTATTTTTTTTATTATTATATAATATAATTCAAGAGCAATTTACTCAAAAACTTATATTATAACAATAATTAGAACCAAATTAAAACCCAAATGACCATGTTAAGCTCAAGTCAATTGTCAGGCTTTTAATTGATCTTAAAATTTGACGAGGTATTATAATCGCGTGGCAGGGATTGCAGAGGAGGTAAGGTGGGAGTATCCATGGCTAGCTGTGTGTTATGTCGTTGGGCGAACCCATTGATGATATTGTCCATTCGTTGCCTTCCCGCCACCGCCACCGCCCAATGCGCAATCATTCAACTAAAGCATGTGGCCTCTGCAGCTGGTCATGTATCGAAATGGGATGGTCTCAAGAGGAGTTGCTACGCCTATGCTGATGAATTTATTGTCGCCACTGACGATAAGTATGGCAACAAACAAGTTATCAGCGTTACTCCGCGGCTTTACGACTACTTGCTTTCGAACGTTAGAGAGCCAGAGGTGAACGTTTTCTTAATCTGTTTATACCCTACCTTACCCTAATATTTGGTATTTGGTATTTGATATTTGGTTGGTGAGGTAGCGTTTAGGATATCTCAATCTTTACCTTGTGACGATTCTTACGACATTTCAGATTCTACGCCAACTTAGAGAGGAGACTGCGGCCATGCGAGGTAGTCAAATGCAGGTATTCATTGGATGCAGTTGTTTACTACTTATTTAATGGGATTTTTCACCAATTGGTTGGATCAGACTTTTTTCCTCTTCATCGTTGAACATTTGTTCAACGAGTAATACCTGGCCCTAAAAGTTTTTGTGAAACTTTACTAAGTGCTGCATTTTGAATTATTTTTTTTTTTTGGTGGGGAGCTGAATTTATTCATTATTATTAGTTTTATAATGAAGGGTAATATTTATTTCAAATTATTACCTTAAAGATCAATGTTTGTGCATATATGATCCATTTGGTAATATATATACCTGTAAACTGTAAAGAATGTCTTTTGTCTGAAGACATACAGAATAGAATGGGAAGATTTATAATTCGTAGTATACCCCAAAAGATTGTAGTTATAAGTCATGGAACTAAGTTCGTCATTTGAGGAATAAATAATGGGAGCATACTTAGAGCCAAATGTCTCTTCAGCTCTTGTTTGCATCTTTGCCTTGACTTTTGGGTATTCATTCTAATCTACGAGACAGGTTAACTATTGTATCATAGTAAATATCTCTTGTGTTGTCTCATCAGACTCAACCTTAGCACGAAAACCAGCAATATCTATATTACTAATAAAAGTATCTTGGCATGAAATTTTGATTCACTATTTTGTCCTTATAAAAAAGTATAAAGGCTAGCATGTCCTTTGGTATTTAAATATGAAAATTATGATTATCTCTCTATATTTAAATAACAAATTAATCTCTAACCTATCATGTAAATCTCTCTATCTTTACAAAATTTTTGAATGGTCATGTTATGCTTAACATAATATATAAAAACATTATTTTTTTCCCCAAAACCTCAATATTAATATACATTGACAATTCTATTGATATAATATCATCTCTAATGACCAAAAATTGATATATTTATCATTTCTCTTCATTTACAATCAAAATAATTTGGTAAACAATTTTTGAGGCAAGTAAGAATAAGAAAGACTAAAAACAAGAAAGACAAAAAAAAAAAAATTGAGACAAGAAAATCATATAATCCTTACTACTTGGCAGATCGAATGAAAGAACAAAAAATGAGTCAATTGAATGTTTATAGTTGTGAAGAGAATACAAACAATTTAAATATGATAAATATGAAATAATATCTAATTTAGTTACATAATTAGAATTTTTTTATGTATTTTATCAAATGCTTCAACAAAAATTTTCATGCGCAACACACATGGTGCATTGCTAGTCATAGAAAATGTGAAGATCCTTCAAGTGTTGTTTAGGGAAAGGCTTGACATGTACATTTATGATTTTTTTGGCGAGGGACTTGAAGGATGAATTACTTTTTGTTGATCCAATTTTGTTTGGCATCCCTCCTTTTTTTAGATTACTTCATAGTTGTGTGCACAAATCTGATCAAGCTTTGCTTGTCAACAGGTATCTCCTGATCAAGCACAACTACTAGCAATGCTTATCCAGATTCTTGGGGCTGAAAGGTGCATTGAAGTTGGTGTTTATACTGTATGTGCCTTTTAATTAATTGCCTCAATACGTTAGCATCTTGCTAAGCTAGTCAATTTCATTATTTCCCCTTTCATATTTTTTTTTAATTGTGGTGTACTTTTGGTGTTCTAGTAAAGGTGGAGAAGTAATTTTCACAAATTATTTGTCTACAAGCACCAAGCTTAATATTTTGAAAAAACTTGTGCACTTTATTGTAACGCTTTTTAAAGCTGAAAACAATGTCGTCAAAAAAGCAAAAGATGTTTATTTATTATTTTGCAAAAGTGATCTAGTTGCACATTAGTATACAAATCATACATGTACATGATGATGTACACGGAAGGTATTAACAACAATAAGCAGTTGTCTTATGTTGTATATAGGATCTGCTTTATGCAACCCAGATAAGTATGTTTTAGATAAAAAATATTCAGTCTCAATTTGCTCTTGATTGTGGGTGTCATAGTGAATATCTCTATTGTGCACGTGGGTCTCACCTTTTTCTTTTCTTTCAAGTCCTTTTTTTGGTGTTTTCGTGGTCATTTATGTGATTCGAGGTCAAACTTGTTTGATTCAATTATGATTTCCAAGTTGACTTTGAGTTGCACTAATTCGATCGATTCGTATCCAATTTAAGGCAGATTCGAGCGAGACTCGTGCATTCAGTGGAACGTTTACGGTTATCGATTACTCGTACATTTTGAGTTTGATACAACTAGGCCATTACTTTTGAACCCAGTTGGGAAGAGTCTTATTAGTAGGTCTTTAGTCTTTTGTTTTTATCTTTATCGTTATGAAAGATACTTTTGTCAGTCTAATATTTCCAACTATAAATATGTGACAGAGGGATAGAACCCGAATTATCGCTCTCTTTTTTTTTTTAATTTCTTTTTCTCTTCTCTTATCTATTTCTTTGCTTTTTATTTATATTAATTCAACATGGTATCAGAGCCGGTTTCGAGATTATCAGATTCATGTGTATGCGGAACATAGTTATCAAAATTGTACGATTCGCGATTCGGTTTGATACAAGTACAAAATGATTCGTATCTTATATGAGAATCATTTTAGAGTTGAATTGCACTTGAATCGTACGATTCGTATCTCATGAATCGCACGATTCAATTACTTTTTTTTAAAACCTAATTTTTTAACAAAATGATGGCGTTTTGTCCGCTAAATAGTAAAACGACTTCGTTTTGTTTGTAGAGGAACCCACGCCCTAATAAAAACTCAACCTCTTTGCTCATTCGATCTCTGAAGTCGTCTAAAGCTCGTCTTGTGTTAGCTAAAGTTAAAGGTCACGGCTAATGCTCTCACATCATCGGTTGATTTTTGCTCTCAATTTTTTCATAGGTAGTTTGTTAGGTTCTATTTTTTTATTTCAAAATGTTGACCTTCATGTTTTCTCCCGATCAATTTTCTTATTTGTTCTTTTTTCATTCATGTTTGTAATCTAATCTATATTTTGTGTCACTATTTTGGTTCTTGAATAGCCATAGTTCTTTAATGAATTTTTTTTTTCAAGTCGTTAAATTTGAAAATGATTAAATAAAAGATAAAAATGAAGCAAAGACAATGTGATTATGTCAATTGATTATTTTTAGAATGCAATAATGTTCAATATTCAATATCTTGTCTATTTTAAATATGTAGTATTATTTTTTATTTTTGTTCAAATTTTGTGTCGGATCTTATGATTCACAATTCAAAAATTTAAAATTTTGATTCACGATACGAATTGTAATTTGACAACTATAGTGCAGAATACAATAATTTTGTATTCGTTTGCAAGAAGAACAGGTCCTATTTTTCGTTAGTCCAAAAAAAAAATTTACAAATAAGTACCTTAGCCAACTTGATGAGTAGAATGTCTATGATTTTTATGGATTTTTTTAAAATTATTTATTGCTTCGTTTGATTTTTCTTTTATTTTCACGAAAATAGGGTTGCTTTTCAAATCTGTGATTCCAACCTTCTTTTGAAGGATTCGTTTCTTGGAATAGATACTATGTGTGCCGATTTTGAATGCAGAAGAGTTTCCTAGTGATCTGGGGTTTTTTTTTTTTTTTTTGCATTTTGTGGCTTCAAGAGGGGCGACAAGCATGTTTTTTGTTCAATGATGGGATATTAGTCGTGTTTCTTCTTATTTTTTAATTTTTTGAGTCATTCGGCGTGTAAATGGACTTTAACAAGAGGTAGAATTTAGATTAAACAAATCAAAATCTAGCACGGTCTCTCAGAAACAATCAAAAAGTGTTACAAATCAAATTAGGCTTTAGACTGAAAATCTCAACCTACAGATTACAACAGTAAAGCTTGATGGTCATAATTACTTTGAGTGGTCGTAGTCGGCTATGTTGATTGTTAGGAGTAAGGGAACGATGGATTACTTGACTGGAAAAACTAAGGAACTGAAGACTAACGATCCACTTTATGATAAGTGGGAGGTTGAGAATTCAATGGTTATGGCCTGGCTACTATACTCTATACAATAAGAGATTAGCAATACTAGAAGAAGGATTCCTCTTTGACAGCTTATTTTCATACCTTATGCCCCCGGGGGGAAGGTTGTGTGTGGAAGGAATTGGACTACTATTAGAGACTTGACATGGAGTGTGCTAAAAATGCCTCAAAATTGCAGCTGTTGATTGAATTGGTAAGGATTATTGAGTTTTTAGCTGTTGATTCCTAAGTGTGATCAAATTAAGATTTAGATCTGATGGAAGGAATCTCTTCCCTCCCTACAAGATATATACTTATGTTCAATCAGAAGAGAGTAGGCACAAGATCATGCTTTATCCATTGCTCCATGAGAGTTGATCCCTAGTTATTACTGTTTCTCAAGATAGTTGGTTGGGAACTAAGAAAGTTGAGAGAAGACGTGCAAATGATGTAGCATTTGATGATAAGGATAAATTGTATTGTGATTATTGCCATTAGTTGAGACATAATACAGACACTTGCTGGAGATTACATGGTCGTCCTCAGTTTGGAGGTAGAATAGGCCGATCAAGTGGTAAAGGAGGATCTTAAGCCCATCTCACCATTGTAATGGAGACTTCTTCACCTGGTCCTGGTCTGTAATCTATAGTCTAGGACATTCTCAAGAAATTGACGTATCTGTGTCAGACACCAACACTCTTCGGACACTCGGACAGATATGTGTCCAATACACTTTTATCGGTATCCATAATTAAATGATAAAATTTTAATTTCGGACATGTGTCTGACACTTCTTTGGTGACGTATTTGACATTTCTTTAAAACGTGTCTACTACTAAATAATAAACATGTAATGATATGTGATAAACAAGCTTAAATTTTGATTATTAAGTATCTTACACTACAAGAGAACATATAATTACCAAGACTATACATATTAAAATTGTACTCAAAATATAATAACAAAAAAAAAGATGCATAAAAATTAGAAAAGAGCAATTGAGATGAGAGTAATCATTTAAATTATATACACGTCTACGAAAAAATTGATTATTATGATTTTATTCTATATATTCACACTAAATGATTAAAAATAACATTTACTTATCATAAAATACTGAATTTTTTATGAATAATATATCATTATCATTATCATTATATTTGTGATAAATTATATTATTTTATATAGAAAAAATAATTTTCTGTAATGTGTCTCCAACTTATCTGTATTCTATTTGTTTTAAAAATGTCGTGTTTGCGTGTTCGTGTCATATTGTATCATATCCATGTCTCGTGTCCATGTCTGTGCTTCTTAGTCTTCAGAAATAACAGTTTTTACGAAGGAGGAAGTGGAGAATATATGTCGCCTTTTATCAAAGTTGGAGGACATATACCACTATATCCACTTCTTTTGCCGATACAAGTAACCTCCCTGTAGCATTCAGTACATCGTGTAATATTCATTCTTGCCCCTAGGTCATTGATTTTGGTGCCTCTGACCATATAATTGGACTATTCACTTTGTTCTCATCATATATTGCTTGTTCACAAAACAACGGGTTAAAATAACTTATGGTTTCTTATCCTTTATAACTGGTAAAGGTTATATTCCGATCACTTCCTCTCCATCTCTCTCATCTGTTTTACATGTCCTTATCTTTCAAACAGTTTTTTTTTATCAATGGCATTACCAAGGAATTAAACTATAGTGTAACATTTTTCTTTCACATTATTTCTTTTAGGACCTTGTCTCAAGGAAGATGATGGGAAATGGTGAGGAGAGAGATAGTCTTTACTTTTTGTATTCTCAAGAGCCATGCAATGCTACCATTGCACAAGCTCATAAGTTGGAAAGTTGTGATACTTTTGAGGAGCTGATTTGACTACTACATCGGAGATTATGACATCATTCATTTGTTTTGTTACAAAAATGATTTCCTTTTTTGTTTTCTAGGTTGAATGTCTTTCAATTTCGTTGTAAAATATGTGAAGTTGGAAAACACCATTGTGTGTTATTTCCTATTAGTTTCAATAGTAGTATTCACTTTTTGTCATTCCTCATACTGATGTTTGGGGAATTTCCCGAGTTGCTAGCATGCCCAGTTTCAGAAGGTTTGTAACAATTATTGATAATTTTTCTCGTATCACTGGGGTTTACTTGCTTAAAGGAAAAAATGAGTATTCTCTTGTTTCTAAACATTCCACAAAATGGTACTTATCCAATTTCGTACTCGAGTACGAATTATTCATTATGATAATGGGGGTGAGTATGTTTATGTTGGACTTAAATCTTATTTTGCTGAGCATGGTATTATTTACCAAACAACTTGTGTTGATACACCTCGACAAAATTGGGATGTTGAGAGAGAATTGTCATCTTATTAGAAATTGCAAGGATCTTGATGTTTACTACGAATGTTCCAAAGTTATATTAGGGAGATGCCATCCTTACCTCGACATATCTTATCAATAGAATGCCTTCTCGAGTTTTGAACTTTCAGTCACTAGTTGAGATATTACCTTCTCTTTCTTCCTTTTCTTTCCCTTCTTTCTCTTAACTGTTTTTTAGTTCCTCCACTGGTGTTTGT